GAGCATGGTATGAAACTCTCACTAGATTATTAAAACAATATAAATTTAAACAAGGCTCGGTCGACCCAACCTTCTTTCGCAAGAAAGATGGTGAACATATAATGATCGTCTAGATTTATGTTGATGATATAATCTTCGGATCTACTAATCCTAGATTAATTGCAGAGTTCAATATGTTGATGGAAACTAAATTTGAGATGAGCTCAATGGGTACGATTAACGTTTTCCTTGGTTTGAATATTAGACAGAGTCAAGAGGGTATATTCATAAATCAGGAGGCTTATATGAAGACTTTACTTGCGAAGTTTGGAATGGTGAGAGATTCGAAAGTAAAGGTTCCAATGGCATTCAGAACGAATCTAACAACGTCTTTGGACAAAACAGTTGTTGATATGACTCACTATCGACAAATGGTAGGTTCACAGATGTATCTAACCGCTAGTCGTCCAGACATCATGTTTTTTGTTTGCTATTGTGCTAGGTTTCAAGCAAATCCTCGTGAACCTCACATGATTGCTGTAAATAATATCATCAGATATCTTAAACGAACCACCTCACTCGGAATATGGTACCCTTAAAACTCAGGGTTCTTTATGCAAGCATTCTCAGATACTGATCTTGGCAGATGCGGTCTTGATCGTAAAAGTACAACAGGAGTATGTCAATTTCTTGACGAAAAACTCGTCAGTTAGCAATCCAAGAAGAAAACTTGTGTCTCGCTATCGACTGTTGAAGTTGAGTATATAGCAGCCGCCTTATGCACCTTGCAAGTCATCTGGATCCAAAGTCAAGGGACTATGGGATAAATAGGAAGCGAATTCCCTTATACTGCGATTCTGAAAGTGCAATTCGCATTTGCCACAACCCAGTGCAGAACACCAAGGCTAAACATATTGCACTGAGGTACCATTTCATCAAGGATCACGTGGAGGATGGCAATGTTGGAAATCACTTTGTGAGATCTGCTGATCAAGTGGCTGATATCTTTACGAAGGCCTTACCTGAACAAACCTTCACTAGAATACTTTAAGGCTTAGGAATGATTGAAGCTGAATCCGTCTTGTAACTACCTTCGTAGCTGGTTAGAATTTGTTGCGAATGGGTCTGAACACTCGGAGTAGTTCGAAGTCGATTGTTTTCACTGCGAATTGGTTTGAACGCTCGAAGCGATTCGGAGTCCACTGTTCATTTGGAGGTTTAGAACTTCTTGTATCCTTTGTATATTATGCTTTCTTAACTCTTTGTACACTTGTGTTTTAGCTTTTATTATCTTCATTTTATTTCTTTTTCAGAAAACTAAAAAAAAAGTTCAAAAATATTTTATTTATTTGTGTTTTTATTTCTTTTTCAGAAAAACTCAAAAATTACAAAAATATTTTCTTCATTTTTGGTTTTATTTCTTTTCGTTAAAACATTAAAAATACCAAAAATAATAGATAATTGAGCAAGATTGAAGGAACATATCATGATACACTCGGTTACGAATTTTAATTCCGAATCTTTGCACTTGTTAAGTGTCCTTAGAAGCATGCTACTGCATGTTGTCTGAAGCCTCTGAGACTCTATGTTTGAAGCCTTAATGAATCGATAATACCAATTGTTTCTTCCCAATCTGGCTAATATTCATATAAGTCATTGAGCTACCTTACTCTTCTTATATTGAGTTAAGAGTTGACTACTTGGTTATTTGAAATATAGCAAAGGTACATTTATATCTTCGGAATCACCTTTAACATTTCTCCATATCACATTCGCTTTCACATCCGTAACCCTTGAGACTCTCAGAGATCACCACTAAGGTTTATGGTTACACAAATTTTGTGTTCATGATCTTAAATTCGTTATCACCACAAATTGAGTGAAACCCAAAATCCAAAACAAATTTATGAATTGACGGTGAACAATTACTATGTTCAAGACATTTCACCATGGAATTGATGAATCCACCTTCGTGGCTTGTACCATGAAATCTCATTATTTTATTTTTGCGAGATCTTAATGAAATGTTCTACACCTAAGACATTTCTTCCCATAAGATCCAATTTTTTTTTTTTTGAGATTTCTATATTATCCAACTACTTAGAAAATTCCAAAGCATACTTGTTCTTATGGCTACACTAGTCAGACAAGTACTTCTTCCAAACATTCAGACTTATGTTATGTTTCGGAGTTTGGTTGAAGATGAAGCCACCCTACAAGCCTTATGAAAAGAAGCATTTCAATGTTTCTCAACAAATAGATGATCGTAATTCAATGGGATGCCACACAAACACTTCTGAGTCTCTCTTGACTCCACAGGAAGAGATCATTGTCTGGGATCCAACTGTTTCATGTATTTATTGACATCACTAGAATCCCTTAGATAACTTGCTTTATTTCTTTATCTTTGGCACACTTTTGCACGAAGATGCTTATGATTTTCAAAAAGTATGGTTCGTAGTTCTAATGAATCCTTTCAGATTCGGAGAATAGGAAATGGCGAACTATTACGAATGCGTTGTACATAAAAGGCAGTCTTTAAGGGATAAGAATTGATTTAGGCATGTGTTTTCAAATGTCCTGGCATTATGCCTTGTTAGTTACACCACCTGACATCATGCCTATCAGAAATGCTTTTTCAAACACTTTTTCAGGAAAATGGAACTGACGTATAAAAGTCAAATCATCGATCAATTTCTTTTACCACTTCTAAAGAATTTCTACTTCCGACGCAAGAAAACCCTTTTCTCTCACTACTGTTCATCTTCTTCTCTGTTGATTTCAATGGCTTCTTCATGAGAAACTCCATCTGCCATCGATTAGACTTCTACATCAAGGCTACTAGGTATCAAAGCTAATCAGAATATTATCTTGGACCTTGATCCATTGAAGTAAGAAGCTTTTCTCCAACCACCAATTGAATGCCTGAGACACTCTCCTTTGGCGATTGCACTACTGAAGATAGAACCTGTTCCTTTAGTTCATCTATCCAAATCTTTTTCTACTGCTCGTCATAAAGAGAGTAGTGCTACTATTATGTTAAATCTTGGTAATCAACAAACATTAATCACCAAGTCCAGATTTAGTCAATTATTGGGGCTTTCATCAACTAGGGATTTGATTGATCTAGAGTCCATCTCCTCTTCTGCTATTCTTGAGATGTTCTATCAGATGGGTTACTAATATCATCTTGGGATTTTATCCAAGTTCAGAAAGCCTAACCTTCCTCCCATGTGGAATGTGTTGTTTACCCTAATTTTCAAGAGTTTTTCAGAGAGGGTAACGGGTTCTGATAGCACAAGTAAGCTTTTTCTTACTATTCTTTATGGTGTTTACCCAGGGATCAATCTGTATTACGGTTCAAACCTTTGGACTCAACTCATTTAGAGTACTTTATCTATTACAAGGCATGCGGATATATCTTGTGCTCATTTTTGGGCTATCGTTGTTCAGAGGGCAATCGAACGTCATAATATTCCGGTGATCGAGGGTTCAGTGATTGCATAAACTCCCATTTTTCACACTTCTAATTTTATCATGTCTGATAGTTCAAGATTTTCTTTCATCGGATCTATTCCAAAAACAATGCTTCGTAATGTTCCAGCGGACAGTGAAGCTATCACCGAATATCATAGGCAACTAGCATCTGATCCTCATCCATTAACCACTGAGATGCAAGCGACTTTAGAAGAGGATGACAAGCCAAAGAAAGGAAGCTAACGAAAATAAAAGGTTTGTCCCTCTAAGCCTACTCAAACTCCAAAGAATAAAAATTGAGCCACTCGTAAGCCAAGGACACCTTCACCAAGTAATGAGGAGGATTCAGAGTTACACACCATCTCCGACGTTCGTATACAAGAGTAGGACCAACACGAGACTGAAGATAATGTTGTGTTTTCACAACCCATGGTTTCGGACCCTTCAACAACTAATCCTGAGGTAACTTTTTCTGTACCAACTTCTGTTCCCATAAAAGATGACGTTTTATAGGATTCTACTCCACCTTCTCCTACTGTTACTACAACACCTATCACGATAGCTCCTTTTTTGAATGTTTCTATGGGAGTTTTACAATCCCAGATGTCTATTACACAATCAACTCATTTCTTCATAGACTCAACAATAACTACAACAACAACCATTAGTACACCACCGGTCTCTGTCCAAATAACTGATACGGGGGCAAGGGCTTTTGGTTTTTCTTTTGGTACTGATTTCACTCCCATATCACCTCTTTGCTATGATGATCCTGATACAATGTTTGGTGATTATTGGGATGCTTTTGAAGACTTCCACTTCAGTATGTTCAATGTCCAACAATCTAGTGAGGATGATGATGATGCTCCAATGACCAAATGTCAGTTCAAGCTTCTTCAAGAAAAGATTGATACTTTTATTGAGTCATCCAAGTCTTCCTCTAGCTCAGAATAATCTCTTGAGTCTCACAAGGTTTTGCTTGAGACTTTGATGAAAGAGCATGTTGCGAATCTTGCAAAACAAAGTTGTTGAGGATTCAAGGAATACTTGCAAGGATACGACTGAAAAAGTTGAAAAACTACTCTCTGATGTTCAAACCTTCATGGGTGATTTCAAAACTTCTTTTGAATCAAACACTAATGTAGCAAATAAAGTGATCACTAGCCTTGGTTTTACACTCCAAACAGAAAAAGTAGCTCTTACGAAGGTTCATATTGAAATCCAGGCTGACAATACGAAGTTTCAAACATCCATCTCCTCTAAAATTGAAAAACTTCAAGAAGATCTGGCCATAGAGAACAAAATCATGGATGAGCTTGATGTTAAAAAAGAAAAGATGAAGGTTTTGTCTGTAAAGCTATCTTATGCGAATAAGCAAATTAATGAGCTCAAATCCGAAAAAGTCGTAATCAAGAGTTATGTTGTTGATGTTAATGCTCACCTGCATAATCTTATTGAGACTCGTGATTCTCTTCTCATAGTCTCTGTTCGTCAGTATTTTGATAATAAATTGAAGCCCATCTTCTCCATACTTAACCAGATTGATGGGTGTTTCGGAATCCTTTACAATTCCAAAACAAGCGGGAGAATCGGTGAGAGCTTCTGGTGGTGGCAAAGTAAGTGATGGTGGGAATGATCACGAAGAAAAACCAAAGTCTAATGATCTGAAGGATAATGTAGCTTTGACATCAAGAGGAAAAGAGAAAATGGTTGATGATGATGAGATGGAGGAAGAAGAAGATGAAAATGAAAATTTAAAGCGTAAAGATCGTGATGTTGAAATTGATGAAAACCTATGAGTTGCAAGGGAGGCTGAAGAACGAGAGAAGGCAGTTCGTGAAGTTGAAGAAACTTTAAAGCCTCAGAAAAATATTTTCCCTTTATGGTCAATGGAACGCATCCTGAATGAAGCTATTGATAACCCAAAAATTTATTGGCTAGAACCTGTTGGATCGTTTGAATTGGAGAATTCTCTAGATTCACAGCTTGATCTGCCAACCACACTGAAGGCCTTTCAGTTTCGTAGCTTTGACAAGATTGTGAACGCTTCTATTCCAGACCATGACATTGATCAAGTACTTTTCTGGTTCTATCTCAAGCATATGAAGCCACAATACAAAACCTGGACCTTAAAGAATATTACTGCTGTCAAGGTTTTTGGACCAATTGAAACTGAGATCTTCATCAATGCTCGTTTCAAGGTTGCTCGTTGGGTTGCGATTTCAATGTTACATATTGCTCTTGTTGATTTGCCCTGCCTTAACCCATTTGATTGGATTCTTGGTGGCATCTATTGCTGAAGGATAAACAGAAATTTGAACTAAGTGTAGCACATATCAAAAGAATGTTGGTCTCATACATCTAGTAATATGGATGTGGAAATTGTGTCTGTCCTTCACAAGAGACCTATAATGCTTCCTAAGGAGCCTCTAAAAGATCTTGACAAGATGAAACTGGTAAGAATACGAAAGGATGATTGGAGCGTGACATTTCAAATACGAGAAAGAGCTGATGCGAATTTTCATAGAGTTTGCTTCTTTTAGCCTGACAAGCATCTATACTCCACCTCATGCCTTGAATACATTTTGGAGTTTATAAGACAGTGCAAAGCGAACAGTCAGACATGAAGGTATCCAAAAGAAAACATATTTAAAATTTGACATAAGTTTTGGTATCTCCTTGTGTGTGTGTACCTTAAACCCGATTTTTAGTAAACAAAATGGTGTTAACCACATAGATTTCAATTTTCATGTTATAAGCAAATATTATTTACTTTGTATACAAGTATTGTTCCATATTCAACAAACAGACATAGTGCATGAAAATGTCCAAAGGACAAATACATTTTGGACTTATAACATCTTACAAATCATGATTTTTAAGTGTAAATATATGATGATTTCAACATTTCATGCACATATTATTCCATAAATAAGTTGATGCATGCAAATATCCATTGACTAAATGTGTTTTGACTTGTATTCCCCCCCCCCCCCCCTTAAAAGCATGTAAAACATCAAAAATTGGGGGTATGAACCTCACCTTGGTGTTTTCGTGAGTTGTAGCAAAGGATAATGGAATCAACATAAAAGTTACCTAGGATAAGCTATAACTTCATGAACCATCTTACCTAAAACTTGAGAATCCTTAGATGGTGAAGAATCCTTTGAAGATCCTAACTTGTTTTGAGAGTGAGATGAAGAAATGGAGAGTTTTGAGTCTTATGGTGAGGCAATAATGGCCTCTCGGCCATGATATTTAAGGGGGAAAGAAAGATGTGCTATGGACTATGCAGTTATCGCGGTCCAAAATCTTATCGTGGTCACTTGCCGCAATTTAAAATAGCGGTTCTCGCGGTGGGATAGTGGTTTATATATATATATATATATATATATATATATATATATATATATATATTATATATATATATATATATATATATATATATGTAATCACAAAGAGTCATATGAAATGTAAAAACACATAACATAGTTATACAAGGTCCACATCCACATAACATATATTAAAAGAGTCTAAATCAAATTTCCAAACAAAAGATCAATCCTAATCCACTGGTTCGGCTTCCGAGTCAACATCGTCTAATGCGTTCACTTCTACATCAAGGTCCACATACACATCATCTTCCACTTCAACTCTAGTCTGGTCATTATCATCATCATCATCTCTATAATGCTCCTTTTTGCTCCTCGTACTAGGCCTAATGTCTACATTTCCGCCCATCGCTTCTCGTACATCCGACCAAAGAAGACCATCACGTGAATCCACAAAGTCTTGAAGTTCAGCCTCTGTCAGTATCGTCCACTCATCATTTTCTTCTACATCTCTCAACAAAATAGGATCTGTTTTGTTGCTTTTTAGAGTTCAAATCTCCTTTGTAACCTTGTGTTATATTGGATAAACACAAGTTCATTGAGTTTTTTATGTAAAAGACAATTCCTTTTCTTGGAGTGTAACTAAAAGAAAAGAAATATGAAAAGTTAGTTAGAGTTTCAAACATTCAATTAAACTAATGTAATATATAATTTATAAAAAAAAAATTGTTAAAAAGACTTGCATTGTCAAATATACTCCAATTGCGTTCACAAGGTGAAGCACTGCACGTTTGACTAAGGACCTTGATAGCAAAATTTTGAAGCAAAGGAGTATCGATCCCATAAGAATGTCACCATATATCTATATTTTATAAATAAACATAAGTTAATAAAAAATAAGAAATAATAAGATTTGATTGCATTATAATTTTTTACTTACATGGTGCAACTTTCATTCTACTTCTTTTCGCAAATCCAAATTGGCCTTTTGAATCAATGTAGATATTCAGTTATTGTCTTAAAAGATCATTCTCATCTTCATCGGGAACAAGACGGTCGATGGAAACATATAGTCCCGTCACTATATCTTTATTTTTCTCAATCTATGAATTTTCTCCATGAAAAATGGTAGGAATAAGAAAACATCCAGCTACACATTCATTAAAATATTAAAACCAAACAATAAAAATAATTTTTAATTTCCATCAACAAGTGAAGTTTTATACCTGCATGTAAAGGATGATGAAGTTGGTCAGACCATCTTTGTTGAATTATAGACAAAACTGTACTCTCCATCCTTGCATTAGGCCCACCTTTTAGATTTTTGCTTATTTTCTCTTTTGCTCAACTCATTACATCATAGATATAACCCATGCAAGGTTGATCTTCCCTAACAACCAACCGAATCATATCTACCAAAGGTGCAAATACTTGACAAGAGAAATACACATCGTCCCAAAATGCTTGCTTTGCAACTATCCTCTCCACCTTCTTTCCCGCAGCTTTCTTTACAAAGGCACTTTTTGTCCATTGTTCAGAAACAAACAACACTTAAAGATGATGGTGATTCTTATGTACACTCTGTAAAGTGTAGTACTGAGTGGCAAACCTAGTTATACAAGACATGTGCAACTCTTTATTCTTGGTCAACTTTCATATCATGTTCAAAATTCTTCAACGGTTATAAATGTAAACCACAATCGCTCTTACGTCAGTCAAAGCACCCTTTATCTTTTTTATTTTTTCCCCGACATCTTGTATCATAAGTTTCACACAGTGTGTTGCACATGGAGTCCAAAACAACTTTGGATGTTATTCTTCGAAAATATTTCCCGTAGCTTAATAGTTTGAGCTGTTATTTGTAAGAAATTACTAGAAATGAAAACTAATATTTAATTAATACAAATAAATGGAAGTTAAAAACAAGAAAAAAGATATGAAATCATTAGATAAGTCAACTATTATGTTACCTGAACAATGTTTTCCTCGCCAACATCTTCAATCACCTGATTAATCATCTTCACAATTAATTGAGCATCCTTCACATGCTCTGATGCATCAATTGACTTAAGAAATCCTGTGCCAGTTGGACAGTTCAGTAATTTTTTTATCAATGCCCTTCCTTTTCCATCTATCCAAAAATCATACATAATGCTACATTCATATTTCTGCCACTGTGGCTGAAATGAGTCCACAAACTTATTAGTATCTTGTAACACCTTGTTTAGTAATGTCACCTGAACATTATGGTAACTTGGAGCGGGCATACTATCACACCCCCAAACCAAGGATGGCGGAAACGTCCGGGGGTGGAGGACTTCATGTATAGTATCATAACCACAATTTCAATAGTAATTTAAGAAAACACAACCAACATATATATAATTGAAAAAGTTACATCACTTGTATGAATTACATGTTTCAAAATCAATTACAATACATTGACAAAATATGAAAAGTTTGACGCCTTAACGTCCCATCCTCAAAAGCATTTGATTACCTGTTTAGTGTTTTCCTGAGAATACAAGTTGTTTGAAAAGTGTCAACACAAAGGTTGGTGAGTTCATAAGCTTTTATTAATAAACCTAGTAGAAGTCTTTCACATGTAAATGTCGCGTTTGTTTCAGAAAAATCCGATATTTTCCTTGAAATCCGAAAAATGTAGCCTTATAACCAAAGACTAAAATGTATAAGAAATCATCATTTCTTAGTAGAAATGTCGTGAGTTTAAAATGATATGGAAAGTAAATTTCTTTATCAACCTAAAACCTACTTCGGTTTTATGAAACCCCGTAAACTTTATGAATTGTTATCTCCCTAGGTGAGTTGCTATAATCATACTGTGACTATGTGAACCTGCCACAACGTTTCTCAGGCGTCGCGAAAATGAAATGACATTTGTCACCCGTAGACCTGCAGGTCCCACTGTAGCTAGCAGCAAGGTGTGGGGTGTCAAACCCAATATAGATCTATATACAAGTATCACGTTCTCCCTCAAGGAGATTCTGATTATAACTACCAGGAAATGTGTGTGGATATAAATCTTTCTTGTATGAATGTACCCTTTTTGTACGAGTGTGTTGAGCGATGTATCATAAACTATACCTATTATAGTTTATCTAAAATGTATATAATATGTATGAATTCTTTTATGGAAATGTATTAGTGTTGTGAATTTATCAAACTATACTTTTTATAGTTACATAATACGTGTTCTAAATGAATGAATAATATTTAATATGAATGACTTAGTTTCAGTTCATAATGATAAACTAACAAGGAAACACATTCAAATATTAGAACTTATGATTATACACTTTGCTCAACAGATTACAAAGTGTTATCATATTTACATGCTGTTGGCTAACTTTAGCAATTCTGCCCTGTTTTGGAAAACTCATAGAAAAATCATACGAAGTCGAAAACTAGATCCGTAAATTCTGAGAGTTCACAAAATGTGTCTAGTTTACTCATAATTTTTATCACGATTTTTAATGACCTCCAACTTGGGTGAAAATGTCCATAATCACAGACTGGTCCGGATTGTTGTTTGAAATGATAGGCAGTTTTGTAAAATTCACCATAAATTGTAGAAAAATCGTATGGAGATGTGCAAGTAGTCATTTTAAAGCTACAAACTTGAACTATTTTCACCTTGTACAGTTTTGAAAACAAAAATGTTTAAGATGCCCAAAACAGTCCGTGAATGGAGTTGAACATTTCTGATGAAGGCTGTTAGAAAAATTTTGTTATGTTCTTAGTGTTTTAACTTGTATTCCCCCCCTGAAAACTTGAGAAAACATGAAAATGTAGGGGTATGAACTCACCTTAAGTGATTTCAGTAGATGATTGTTGAAGAATGGAAGTGTTTAATTCAAGAACACTTGGAGATGCCTTGAAGGTTTTCGAGAATCTAACATTATAGTTATGGAGTTTGTGTAAGCAATCAAAGATTTGAGTAGAAGGAAGTGAAATAATAATAGGGAGGATGAATTTTTACTTACCAAGAGTGGAAGAACACTTGAAATCAGCCTTGAATCTCGAAAATTTGTGTAGAAAAAGTTTGAGAGAAAAGTGGTGTTTGTTACTTAGTGGAATGAGAGAAATGAGAGAAAATGAAGAGTGTGGTTGTTTGTTCTAGCTCAAAAAAAAACGTGGGAGTGAGTGAAATTTGAGTGTAAGGGGACATTGAAGTGACATAGGTAAGGTGGGGAGGTATGGCTGGTCATAGAGTGGGTGTGGGGTGGTTTCTTGTGTCATAAGTTAAGGCAAAGTCAACACTCCACCTTAAATAAATCCCCCATTAGATCTTTATTATTTAAATAATGATTTTCATCAAAATATGTTTAAATTATGAATATTTAGAGTTTATTATGTTAAAATATAATTTCTGGAGAAAATCCCGCTTTAAAATCACGAAAAACGGGCTTAAAATGTTAAAAATATCAAAAATGGGCTAAAAGTGACAATTTCCCGAAGTCTGGCCGAGGTTCGGCCTTCTGGTGCTGAACCGAGAGAGAGGGAGGCAGAAACCGAGAAGAAGAAGAAGAAGGAGGGAAGGAACCGAGAGGGGAGAAGAGAGAACAGAGGGGCGCGAGTAGAGACAGAGCGAGAGAAGGGAAGAGACAGAGAGGCGGGTAGAGACAGAGCGAGGAGCGAGCGACAGAGACAGAGCGAGAGAAGGGAAGAGATAGAGAGGCGGAACAGATGAGGCGACCGAGAACCGAGGCTCGGTCCTCGCGCACTTAGCCAACAGAGGCTCGGTTCGGAGATAGAAGGCGAGAAGTCAAAAACCGAATGAACTGTAGTGAACAGTAGTGAACAGTACCTTCGGTTCGGTTCAGCAGCCTTCTTCATCAGGAGGGTTCGGTTCCTAAGAGGGGTTTCGGTTCCTAAGATCCGTTTTTCACGTTTTCGCCCCGTTTTAAGCCGTTTTTTACCCGGTTAAGGGCCCGAATGACCCGAATGATTCTAAAAAGTTACGGGAACTATTTGAGGGAGATTTGGGAGAGATTTCTCATACTTGGAGAGATTTGGGAGAGATTTGACATTCTTGGAGAGATTTCTCATACAAAGAGGTATTTGAGAGAGATTTCACATACTTGGAGAGATTTGGGAGTGATTTGACATTCTTGGAGAGATTTCTCATACAGAGAGATATTTGAGAGAGATTTCGCATACTTGGAGAGATTTGGGAGAGATTTGACATTCTTGGAGAGATTTCTCATACAAAGAGGTATTTGAGAGGATTTCACATACTTGGAGAGATTTGGGAGTGATTTGACATTCTTGGAGAGATTTCTCATACAGAGAGATATTTGAGAGAGATTTCGCATACTTGGAGAGATTTGGGAGAGATTTGACATAGAGAGAGATAGAGTGAAAACGATTGAGAGAGGATCCATGTGTGACAATTGTGAGTGTCCGGCATCGCAATGCATGGTTCGTAAACCCTGTTAAGCCTTGTTTAAGTATCTTACACACTCCCGATGAGTATGCATCATTGTTTTTATCAGTTTAGTTCATTGATTAGCACTAGGGCTTAGGAAATTTTTAACACAAGACTTTTCTCAAGTGATGTTTTCCCATTAATATAGCAAGTTATACAGTATGAACATAACACAAACCCTAATACACAAGGTTTAATCGAGTTGACCGGCTTGACTTGATGACTTGACTTGACTCAAGATTGACGATTGTCACACATACCTAAGATTGATAGATATAATTAATTAGTTAGTAAGTATTAAAATATTAATCAATAAATATATGATTAAAGGGATTACTTAATTACCATTTCCATAATCTCCAATTGCATCAATTACATCTTGGAAACTTTCATCACGTACGGCATTGAATCGTAAGCCAACTGCGTAAGCCCAAATCACAAAATTTTTCCAAGCAATATTCTTCAGCTTCTCTTTGATTGCATTGCTTTTATCCAATGTGCTTTGATGTGCTTTTCCACGATCGCTCTTATAAACACAATCAATTGGACCGTGAAAATTACTAGAACTTACAAACTTTCTTTTCTTACTATCATCCTAGACTCTTATCTCATCTTCTTCATCCTCATTATCAGATAATCCTATTGTGACAACTGCCAATTCAGGTCATTCTCGTACTCATGCATCTTTATAAAAACCATTCATGCACAACATGCCATGGCCTAGTAGTATAAATTAGGTCAAAATCTTGCATAAACTAGGATCCAACTAAGGTCTAGGACTAATATACTTGATACTTACAATTCTAGTAAGTTGCTTAGCTACAATAGGAAATGCCAATACTATAATTAGAATAAAGATTCAAGCTTTGTTATAATTGAAATAGGGTAAAAAACCCTAAAAATAAATTAAAACATTCTAATTATACTTCAACATGTTGTTGAATATCAAACAATATTCCAAAAACCCTAAAGAGCTAAAAATCCAAAGTTATAAATTATAAAGCTTAAAAACCTTATAAAATTTGGCTACAAACTTCCTAATATCAAATTGTTATTAATAAAATTATGAATTATAGTCAATGAAATAGAAATTAACTTACCAAGTATTAATCATAATTTATTTGTTGAAAACAAGATTTTTAAATAAATCAAATTGCTTAATAAGTATTTTTATAAAAAAAATGAATGTTTATATATAAATGATGGAGGTGAAGTTTATAAAGTTTAAACTTTTGGAGAGAGGAGGCCTAAATGCATGTAAGAACCGGCCATATGCCCTCCCCATACACTCTCTCTTCCCAAAACACAATCATTAAGTCAAAACCCTCACTCCACCTCTTCTTTCTTCACTCTCTTACACTCCACTCTTCACACACTTCACTCTCTTCTTCCCTCTCTTTAAACTCACGAAAATCCTCTCATTCCTCTGAAAAATTTCGAGATTGTGAAGCCCTTGAAGTTTTCTTACTTCCCTCAAGATCATAACAAAGGTAAACAACATCATCTTCTTCCATAGTTACATGATTTTACTTCTTTTCTTTCTTAGTTTTCTCTTCTTTTCGGATTCTATGCCATTATATGGCTAGAAATCTTTATATTTTCCCTTGTGGTTTGTAGACTCTCACCATAACACAATGCATGTGTTAGAGATGGTGAAAATCTGGCATCAAACCCATGCAAGGAGTGAAAAAGATGCACATATGATCATGTGACATCAAAACCTAATATTTCATGTTCTTCTCCACTTCTTTTGTGTTCATGCATGACGAAAAGCATTTAAACCATTTCTAGTACATCTTGGATGCTCATTCATTCCAT